AAACGATAGTGTAGTTCAAGGGCAAGTGATGGCCGCTGCAATAACTCAAGGACTGCGCAATGCGCGCGGCGGAGCCACCCCTCCAGGGGCATGCTTCTATTGTAAGCAGCCAGGTCACTTGAAGAGGGACTGCCCCAAGCTAGGGGGACCAGGAGGTAATGCCGCACCCATCAGGCAACCTCGACTGTGCCCTAGGTGCAGAAAAGGGAACCATTGGGCAAATGAGTGTAGATCAGTGGCCGATGTAGAAGGACGCCCACTGCCTCCACAGCAGCCAAAAAACGGGAGGCGGGGCCCCACACCTCAGGGCCCGCAAATGTATGGGGTGATTCAGCAAATCCCCCGAACACATTATCACCTGACCGATCAGAGCACTCACAAGGAGGCGGAGAACCAAGGAGAGCCACAACAGGGAGTGCCGGACTGGACATCCGTGCCACCACCCGCCTCGTACTGACCCCAGAAATGGGAGTTCAAGTAGTGGAGTCCGATTACAGGGGGCCCTTAAAGAGGGGGGTGGTGGGACTCCTTTTAGGCCGCAGTTCCACCACTAGAGCAGGCTTGATAGTCCATCCTGGAGTGATAGATCCAGATTTTGAGGGAATAGTAAAGGTGATGGTCTCCTCCCCACGAGGCATTACCGCCATAAATCCAGGAGACCGCATCGCTCAAATTCTCATGCTTCCCAGTAACCATGACAATTTTGACAGTAAGAAGGTCATAAGGGGGACCTCCAGCTTTGGGTCATCCGGGGCTCCACTAGCTTGTGTCACGCTAGAATTAGGGGACCGGCCTATGTATGTAATCCAAATTAGAGGCAGGGAGTTTGTGGGGCTGTTAGATACCGGGGCAGATCGCAGCATCATCAGGGAAGAAGAGTGGCCTAAAGACTGGCCTCTAAATCGAGCTGCACAAACACTGAGAGGTCTGGGGATAGCCCAGGCACCAATGTACAGTGCAGCCACACTGCCATGGAAGGACTTAGAGGGGCATCACGGTGTTATTCAACCATACATCCTAAAAATGCCTATGTCCCTATGGGGACGAGATGTGTTAACACAAATGAATTTTAAACTAACCACAGAGACTTTTTACAGTGAGCAGTCTAATGCCATAATGAAAAGACAGGGGTACGCGGGCACTAGAGGACTAGGGAAGGATCTCCAAGGGAAAGAACAACCAATCCTTTTAGCAGGGAGACCGCCCAAAGGGCCCGGAGGACCAGGATTGGATTTTTCTTCGGGGCCACTGAGGGAAAACAGCCTATAGAAATAACATGGCAGTCAAAAAGGCCCGTGTGGGTACCTCAGTGGCCCCTCACCAAAGAAAAGAAGGAAGCAGCCCACACTTTAGTACAAGAACAGATAGCAGCTGGTCACCTCCAGCCCTCTACCTCGCCATGGAACACACCTATTTTTGTAATTAGGAAAAAGTCTGGCAAGTGGAGATTACTCCATGATCTCAGGGCAGTGAACAGACAGATGGAGCTTATGGGACCTGTACAATTAGGCCTTCCTCTCCCTGTGGCTCTGCCCAGAGGATGGAATTCAATAGTGATAGATATCAAAGACTGTTTCTTCTCCATCCCGCTTCACCCCAGAGACTGTCAAAGGTTTGCCTTTACCGTGCCAGCAGTGAATCATAGTTGTCCCGATGAGCGATATGAGTGGATAGTATTGCCACAGGGCATGGCTAATAGCCCCATCATGTGTCAGATGTATGTAAAGAAGGCCTTACAAACTGTCAGGAAACAGTTTCCCCTCATAATCATCTATCACTATATGGATGACATTTTGCTGTGCAGTGAAGAGGAGAGACAACTGGAGTTGGCTCTCTGTTTCCTGCAGGAACATTTTGAGGAGTGGAACCTTAAAATAGCCCCTGAAAAGATCCAAACATCCAAAGTAAAGGAATATTTAGGAATGAGATTGGGAAACACAATGGCCAGGCCATTAAAGGTAACCATAAGGACGGATCACCTGAAAACTCTAAATGATTTTCAAAAACTACTGGGAGACATTAATTGGGTTCGTCCATATTTGAAACTCACCAGTGAAGAGCTAAGTCCCTTATATGACCTCCTGAGGGGAGAACCTGATCTGGCCTCCCCTCGATCACTCACTGAAGAGGCGAGAAAAGCTATAACATTGGTTCAGTCACGCTTGCAGTTAGCGCAAGTCGAGCGGATTGATTACTCCAAACCAATTGCCTTCATAGTGCTCCCTAGCAATCATAGCCCCACAGGCGTACTGTGGCAAGAGGGCCCTATGCTATGGGTCTACTTGGCACATTCGCCCGGGAAGATCCTGGATTGGTATCCCCAGAGTGTGGCCGAGCTGATCTTGAAAGGTGTCAGGGTATCCACAGAGACGTTCGGTGCCCCTCCAAATACCATCATTACCCCATATACTGCAAAACAAATTGAATGTCTTACCGCCTGCTGTGATGCATGGGCTATTGCCTGCACCATATCTAGTGCCACCTTCGATAATCATTATCCAAAATCCCCCTGGCTCCAGTTTTGCCTAGCTAACCCGATCATTTTCCCTCAAACTACCAGGAGGGAACCCATTCCTAGGGCTAAGGTAGTCTTTACCGACGGCTCTAAGGATGGCACCGCCGCAATAGTTACCAATGAACAATCATGGACCCTCACATTCCCAGCGACATCCGCCCAGCAGGTAGAGCTGCTGGCAGTGGTGCAGACCTTTAAATTATTTCCCCATCCGCCATTTAACCTCCTGTCAGACAGTCAATATGTAGTTAACTCAGTTACCATTATAGAAAATGCAGGGCACGTTAGACAGACATCGCCGGTCGCCGGAACACTTAGAAGCTTGCAACACCTTATCTGGGATCGGGTCCATCCTTTCTTTATTGGACATATCAGGGCTCATACTCCACTCCCAGGCCCGCTTGCCGAAGGAAATAGGAGAGCGGACAAACTAACCCACAGCCCGTACATCCTGGCTTTAGCCAACCCGGTAGAACAGGCCACTAATTACCACAAGCTCTTTCATGTTAATTCCACCACCTTACGGATGAAATATCCTATTACAAGGGAGCAAGCGAGAGCCATAGTTCTCGGCTGTAAATGGTGCGTTGCTCTCCTACCCCTACCATCTCAAGGCATAAACCCAAAAGGACTACTACCAAACCACCTGTGGCAAATGGATGTCACACACATCCCCGAATTTGGGAACATGAAATATGTTCATGTGTCCGTTGACACATGCTCAGGAGTAATCTTCGCCTCCTGCCACACGGGCGAAAAAGTCCGAGATGTTATTTCCCACTGCCTACAGGCATTCTCTGCCTGGGGCATGCCTAAACACCTGAAGACTGACAATGGACCAGCATATACATCCCGACCGTTTCTGACATTTACTCAGACTCTAAACATTGCTCATACAACGGGCATTCCATACAACCTTCAAGGACAGGGTGTAGTAGAGCGCACACACAGAACACTCAAGGCCACTCTAATAAAACAAAAAGGGGGAATAGGGGCAGACTACAAATCCCCTAAAGATAAACTTAATATCATCCTATTTATATTAAATTTTTTGACATTGGACATAAATGGCCAGAGTGCGGCTGAAAGACACAGTCAGTCTGCTGACCCTGACAGGAAACCCAAAGTACTGTGGAAAGACGTGCTGGAAGGTAACTGGAAAGGCCCGGACCCAGTACTTATCTGGACCCGAGGCTCTGTTTGTGTTTTCCCGCAGGGCCAACACCAACCTATCTGGGTACCGGAGCGATATGTGAGGCGAGTGGAAAACTCAAGGACGGAAGAACAGAATACTGATGCTGATAGCGCTCACGATCCTAGGGTGGACCCTGCCGCCAGCGAGACCCGAGCAGAGACAGCTATGGGGAGTAGTAAAGGCATGGCCACTGCCACTGCCCCTGAGTAACCTATCAGCAGAGACTTTGAACAGCCTGTCGCAAGATACCGCTTCTGCGCTGACACAGCAAAACCTTATTAATACACACTTGAAGAACGGTATAGTCTTGGTGAACCAGCGCGTGGACCTTCTCCAGGAACAACTGGATTTGCTCGGTCAGACATGGCATTTGGGCTGTGTCAGTTCCTACACTGGACTGTGTGTTTCCAGCATTCCGTTCAACAACTTCTCTCGGGCTGCAAACCTATCCCGACAGCTGGGACACTTGCTGAACACAAACTGGTCTAGCAAGCTCGAGGAGCTTACCGCGCAGCTAAGATTAGAAATCATGAGTGTTAGCTCCATGTCTCAATCAGCTATGACAGTGTTTGATGCCGAAAGGCTTGGTCCGGGGTGGGAGTTATGGGTGTGATTGTGATCGCTGGACTGCTGCTTCTTGGCAGGGCAATTTGCTCTGTGCAGCGGCAGCAATTACAGGATAGACGAGTGCTGTTGCAAGCGATGGCTGCCCTGGAAGAAGGCGTCTCCCCAAATATATGGCTTCAGATGTTGGATCAGTAGCCAGAGACGGGTAAGATCTGGAGCTGCGCATATCAACCTAAGACAGGGCACAGACCAGAGCTGTCTGCTGCCTGAGGACGGGTAAGAATGCTGCAGACTCTGGGCAACCTAAGACAGGAATGATCCAAAGGCCACGCATTATATCAAACAAAGAAGAGGGAGATGTGAGGGCTGGGCCCCTGGCCAGGGCTCGGTCCCGGAGCTGATCCACCGCAGCTCCCTTGCCCAGTGGTAGTTCTAAGACCTGGTATTTTAGCCTTGTCACCAGCTGGAGAAGATGGCGCCCATTTCCTGCTTACCACCCTTTCCCCTCTTCCCTGTTGGGGATTGGCCCAGCAGACTTCCGTACCCGTGCACAGCTCGTGCTGCCCGCTTAGAGTGGCGCATGACACCTATCCGCTTAAAGGTCACGCATGATACTGTCCTGGATTGGTTGGGTGACTGAATATAAGGGAGCCCGCCGGGAGGGAGGAGAGCTTCCCGACAACTGCTGTAACCACAGTGAGAGATTAGACAATAAAGCCTAGAGAAGAATCAAGACCTTGGGCGTGTTGCTTCGGTCCTTGAAGGGTCGCGACAATTACTTCCAGGTTTGTTTCTGCCTCTGAAATATCCTAAACTGGTTCTTGTATCAGGAAACAATTACTAATGGGGTTTCATTTGAATCTAAAACAAAAGTTCCTAGGGGAACTGAGAATCCCACTTAGGAGTTTATGAAATAACAAAGCTGGAAAAGAAAATCATGGTTGGGGGACTGAGGGTGGGGACAGCAGAAGATCTTGCTCATCCCACTCTTTCTTGGAGCACAGAGAGCTTTAGGCGGTATGTGACCTGAAAGCACCAGACTTAGGGTTCCGGGAGGTGGGAGATGATGGAGTGCAGAGGTAACAGAGGACAGCCAGTGGCCAGAGAGTTGTATGGCAGCCAAGCAGAAGCTCTGGTTGGCTGTCTCTCTTTATTCATTACCCAGACCTGCCAGAGAGGCAGGTCTCAGCTATGTCAGGACACATCCTACTTGTGTGAGAAGGGGGACTTTTCCTCCATAGCCCCCTAGAGCTCGGCCCTCAATAGGACACCCATTGGCAACCTGAGACTTTTAGGAGCCCTGTCTAATCATGCCACTTAAAAGCCACCCTGGACATATGGCGTGGAGTCCTCAGCCCCCTCAGAGAGGCAGTGACAGGTGGAACAGACATATCTAGGTGGAGAAGGAGAGCAGGGAAAGTCATACCATGTACACAACCTCACTAGCAAGAATGGTGTCTAATAGAGATTTAGTCCATGGCTTGTCACAAATAAGCCCAACCACTGTCTTGCTTCTTATTTAGAGACCTCTTATAAGAATGTACTTCCTGGGGAACTCTGGCCTGACAAAATAAAATGTGGAAAGCTTTTTTTATAATGTAGGGTTCCAAAAGGTAAATAAGCTTGTATATTTGGCCAGCTGCTGATGCTGCCGTCACTGCAGAAGAGCAGGCAGTGGGGCCAGCCCACATCCAGGCATTCTCACATTTGACCCCTCAGGGAATAAATACTTCATACTGTTTAAAGAGCTCTTAACCTTCCTAGGCTCCTGGATACTCATAACCTTCCTATCAAATTATGGAAGCCAGGGGAACACTGAGACAGGGCAGCAAGAATCAACATGGTGAAGACATCTTGAAACTTAACTTGGTTTTTGATTGTACATCACCTCCTCTCAAAAAGGAACTTGCCAGCCCCAAAGCCCACCTAGTGGGAAGCTGCCATGGTGGTGCCTGACTCCACCCCAAGGAAAAAGAGGAAGAGGCTTTTCGTATTTCATCCTAACACTTCAGCAAGTTACTAGGAACATTAATTATCTAACCACTGGCTGGCCCTTACTAGTTTTGCAAGGGCCATAGTCCTCTGGCTCTTGGTAAACACTCTGAGGCACCAGATGGCCCAGTCCTTGGGATGGTGGGCTTTCCAGTGGGTTGGGAAGTGTATCCAGTGGCCCCGGGACCCAGTCCTTCACTCTACTTGCTGCTGGGTCTGTTATAGAAAGCCGGCGCGGACAGCTGCTTTCCTCTTTGTCATGGGCAGCGCGGCTGCGACAGCACACACACAGTCAGTCCCTCTGCTCTCCTCTTTCCTACTGCCATTCCCACCTGCCTGAGCATGTTTTTCCTTTTTCCTTTATTTTTCCTAATTCATTTCAGTGACCCATGAGGTACAGGAAGTTCATGTTGCCCTGCTTCCTTGCTCTAATGCTTATTGCCTGCAAACACTGCTATCTGGAAGCGGGACTGTATCCTGGTTTCCAGATCATTTGACTTGACTTGTGATTATTAGTAACCAGAGAACTGAAGCAAACAGTGGTCTGCCTTCCATTCTGCCTTCCACAAAAGGGTTAACCTTAAGGCCCACAGAGCACAGCACTGGTCTCCCTCCAGTGCTCCCAGGCTGATAGGCTGCAGGGCTTACCATATTAGGAGTGTGTGAAGGGAAAATTCGGCTCCTGGTGTACACAGCAGGAGCTCTTCTGTCAGTCTGCAGTGCAAGCTCTATATTTAGTAACAGGCACTTGGGAATAGCAGCTTCATGTGGGAGTGGGTTGCTGGAATGCAGATGTGTAGCGAATCTCTACCCCAATCCTCATGGAGCCTTAAAGCTGAAGCCCTAGGAGAGAGCTGGGCTCTTCCTCTACCTGCTCCAGGCTGTCTGGATGACATCTGTTGCAAAACAGGGAAGAATGATACAGTCCCTTTCATGTATGCTGCATTTTAATATGAAGGAGAGGAATTGTGATAGTTGAACAACCATCACTCAAAATGTTGAAACTGATTTTTCTCCCTCCAGGCCTTACCTCCTCTCCTATATCAGGTTAACTAACCACTGGTACGATGAGTGGAATAATTTTATTGACTTATGATTTCTCTGTATAGGAAATAAATAAAATAGCTTCCCTTTGGTTTTGCAGGAAATGTATCTTTGGTACTACATGAATTTTATTTCACATTACAAGAAGCCCTTGGTTCTAAAAATGTGTCTTCATTTATAAAATATAATTGTATAAATAGAACATAATCATTATGTATGAAATGATTTCTTATGAGCCCATACAAATTTGCACAATATAGTAACATTCTGTGAGAATAAAAATTAATTAAAAATAGTCTTGTAGATAAAATTATTAACTCATTTGATGATGTGGAAGTAAGTGTCTTGTTTAATCAACTTACCATAGCTCTGTTTTAAGGGTAATCTGTTTATCCAGGAATGATCAGTTCCAGGGCAGCTTTTCTCTTTCCTTCTTCCTCTCTCTTTCTGCTAAATTTGCTGTTTCAACTGACCAAGACTTAAGGCAGAGATGAATGCAGTGAGGAAATAGAATGCTTTAGAGTTCAAGACAAGGGTCCAGGCATAGACAAATCAGCAAGAATCTAGCTTCCAGGTAATTATAGTTCATAATAATGATTATGATAATTAATTTATTGCCCATTATGTTCCAAGCCCTGAAAACACTGAGCTAAGCACATGCGTGCACTGAAATTTATAGTAATCCTGTGAAGTGGATTCTCTTATTTTCATCATTAAACATATGAGTAAACTGAGGCACAAAGAGGTACTTTGTTAATAACTGGTGGAGCTGAGTTTGAAATCCAGGTCTGTGAGTAGAACCCCCTTAATGACTTCACCATACTGACTTCTCAGACACTACAGATCTTCAACCAAGTTTAGGGCTTGATCTTAGGAAAAAGGTGGAAACTCTGTTTCTAGAACTGTTATTTTTCTCTGAAAGTTGGATCTAATGCTGCTATTTGTGAGCAAAGTGCTTATCATATGTAACACATTGGGCTAAGTGCAGGGCCTACAGAGATAAATTTGACACAGCCCCTCAAGGAATATTGTGATAGACAAATACATAAATCATAACATGATGTGATAAGTGCTTATAGAACCAGATATTAAATGCTGATGCGCAGCTAAGGATAAAGGGAACCAGAGAAAGCTTGAAGACGTGGTATTTGAGGAGCCTTGAGGGAACAATAACAGCTGTCTAAGTGGACAAGTCATTGAAGGGTATTCTCGGTGGAGAGGGGAAATTGCTTGGAAATATGAATCATCAGGTATCTACAAACAGCCTGGTATAGGTGGAATAGGGGGAAATGAACCTAGAAAAGTAGTCTAAAGCCATATTACCAAAGGCCTTACATGCCACAGTAAGGAGGTTAGCTTCCATTGAATTCTGAGCTACTGCTCCAAAACCTCTTTGTACTAAAGGTCAGGACTGACCATCAGGGATGATTCTGCAGGCCAGTGCTACAAATGATAGCTTGAAATAAGGGAGAGATTCTGAGATAAGTAACTAGAATATCCTGTTAGGATCTAAATAAACAGGGTCCAAGCTAAAGAATTTGTCCTGCGGGGTCATAACTGTCTTTTGGGATAAATCAATAAGCCATCCTCCTTTGCCCTACAATACCCTTAGTCCATTAGTCTGAGCTTCTAATGAAAACTTGTCTCAGTATTCAAGAAGATTTCCAATTTCCTTTTAACCTGCAAGAAGCTGATTAAATTAAGCACCATTGACATCTAGGTTCTTAAAATAGAAACTCATTTAAAGGGATCAGCAGTCAGAATAACACATGTGGTGTCACCTTCTGGTTTCCCTTTCTGCCACCCTTGGTTCTAGAGACTGGATATTTTTCATGGATGAAGCTCTGTCAACTTGTAGGTTTCCCTACAAGAAGAAGTTGAACCCATCTCTTTACCTTCTCAGTAGCTACTTGCTGAAAAAAGGATAGAACCAGACTGACTCCTTTAACTTTAATTTTACATTGACTGTTCTACCTTAAATTCTAGATAAAAAGTTCAAATGAGCACTTGACAATGTCCAGGAATCCTACTGTGCTCCCAAAGGCAACACACTGACCTACTGCTGATGACAGTGATGGCATGCCTTCACCTCTTGCCCCCAGCTGGCCCACATCTGCCTACTTCTCAGTTAATGACCTCATCCTATTATCATTCGGGAAAAAGAAGCCCTCAGAGTAGAGAACCTGATCGCCCTCCTTCAAGAGAAGGTCTGTATTTCCCAATTCCAAATTCCTCTCCAAATATTGTATCATTTCAGAGCCATGCTTTACATTAAGACTTCTAGAAAAAAGTTGTCTAAATCTGGGTTGTCTACATCCACACATCGCATTTCCTCTTCAAGTCATCCCAATTTGGCTTCTTTCTCCATTATTCTCAACTGCTCTTAGGTCTATTCTGCACCTGTACCAGTGCAGCTGAAAGAGTTTGGAGAAAAACACACAGCTATGTTGATTGACTTCATTTTAAATTTGTGGCAGACACTACATTTCTCTTGTTTATCTGTGTTTTCAGTTTCTTGAATATTTTATATTTTCCTCCCCTCAGACCTTCAACACCTTCCCGTTCTCACTCTAGCAGATGACTTTGCTTCCTACTTTACTTTCCAGTTTTCTGCAAAACTGGAACAGTCTGAAGAGAACTTCCCCAGGTACACATAGCTAAATTGACCCATTACTTGTACCTGTGTTCAGTCTTCTGTCCTGTTAACTCCAGTGTGCATGGCCCTCATGAAGGTCAGCCCCTCCATTGGTGCACTAGATCCCATCTTCCCTCACCTCCTCATTGACTGGCTCAGGAGCTCTGCCCTGTCCTCTTGCACCATAATGTTTCCCTCTCTGCTAGATTATTTCTGGCAGCCTGCAAATACTCTGCACTTCTGTGAAAAACAGCAACAACATTCTCTTGATCCCATTTCTTCACCAGTTACCATCTGTGGATAAAATAAGAGTTCCTGTGGCCAGGATTCTCACCTGGCCCTGGTTGACTAGCTCACTGCACACCTGTGGGCAATACATGGCTGTTGACTCTATATAAAGAGCTCCTCCCAGTGCTCTGTGCATGATATGGTGGCACGGCTGCAAGGCTGCAGGAGAGCTAAGGACAGAGGCCCAGGGGATGGCTGTGTGGGATGGCTGTGCAGGCAGAGGCCCAGAGGACAGCTGTGCAGACATAGAGGCCCAGAGGCAGAGACAGACTGGCTTGCTGCATTCAGACTCTCGAGTGAATGAGATTTTAGTGACTGACCTGCCACCTGGAAATAAAGTTGGGTATAACCCTTTCATCCCAAGAACGTTTTGCTGTTGATTTCTTTGGTTACAATGAATCCATAGCAAACTTGCCCGGGGCAGAAACCCTTTGGCAAGACACCATCCTTTCTCTTCTTCCTTATATAGCCAAGAGTAAATTACACTTGATATGTCGATTTTCTCTCCTCCAAGTCCCTTGAATTCACTCCAGCCAGGCTTTTACCCCACCAAGGTATCTCTTGACCCATTCCAAGAAAACTCTTCTTACAAGATCAACAAATGGCCTCTACGTTGTTAAATCCAAAGGCCATCGCTCTTGCCTGACCTATCAGCAGCCTCCACATTGTTAAATCCAAAGGCCATCGCTCTTGCCTGACCTATCAGCAGCATCTGACCGCTCTCCTTGGAATAACCACTTCACCTGGCAGCCATGACTTCACACTGCCTGGTTTTCCATCTGCTTCTCTGGTAGCTCCTGTCAGACTCCTGCTTGGTTCTTTTTCACTGCCTTAGACATTGGCAAGCACCAAGGATCAGGGTGTAAACCTTGTCTCTTTTCTTTCTACACTTGCTGTCTTGGTGGTTTTATCCAGACTCATAGCTTTAAATTCCATTTATTACTCTGATTACTTCCAATTTCACATTTACCTTAGTCCTCTTCCTTGAACTCCAGATTCATTTATGTGTCCAAATGCCTGTTCAACTTCTCCAGGGGGATATTTAATAAATACTTCAAACTTAGTAAGTCCAACACTGAATTCTTCATTTTCTCTCCTTGAAACTTGATTCTTCTGCCATCTTCCTTATGACAACTCCATTCTTCAAGTTTCTCAGACCAAAACCTTGAAGCCATCTTCGATTTCTTTTTCTCTCTCACATCCCACATCTAATTTATCAGTGAAACCCATTGGCTTTACCTTCAAAGTATTTCCAGAGTCCAACCATTTCTTTCCACTTCTACTGCTAATAACCTGCCCAAGCCATCATTATTTCTTGCCTAGATTATTACAATAGCTTTCTAACTGGTCTCTACACTCTGTTTTGTATTTTTTAGCCTCTACTTTTGTTCTTGCTTCCATTCAGTCTATTGATAACATAACAGCCAAATCTAAAATCCAAGTCAGGTTATGTGAATCCTGTGCTCAAAACCTTCCAGCATCTTCCCATCTCACTCAGAATAAAAGTCAAAGTCCACGCTGTGTCTCTAAGACCACCCCCTGTGCTGAGCCAGTTCTGTCTCTGCCCTCTGCTGATGCTCTTCCTGCTTTACCACTTGGACCTTGCTGTTCTTTCACATCCAGGCACATTCTTGCCTTGGGGCTTTTTAAGTTATCTTTTCTTCTGCCTGGAAAGCTTTCCCCCAGATATTTGCATGGCTCATCCCTCAGTTAAGGGTCTTACTGAATGTCACCTTTCTGTTTAGGCCATCCCTGACTAGCCTGCCTAAAATTGCCCACCGCCACCCCCAGTACTTCCTTTCTCCTTTCCCAGCATCATCTTGAACTTAGCACTTACTACTATTTTACATATCATGTGTTTCATTTATTTATCTTACAATCTTCCTCTTCCACTGAAAGATAAGCTGTAAAGGGCAAGGATTTTTAAAAGTATTTCATTCACTACTGTATTTTCAGTGCCTAGAATAGTGTTTGACACCAAATAGATATTTACTTAACTGTTAATAGTTTGAGTAAGGTAAAGACACAAAAGTTCTAAAACCTTTAGTTGCATGGGTATAGGCTCTGAATAGGGAGAGTTGGATTGAATCAGTTTGTTTTAACCCAGCAACCACTTCACTCTCTTAGCTTCCCACTTATCTATAAGACTGGAAAAATTACATTTTGTTTCTCAATTTTTCTAACTGAAAATAGGGAATCATAAAGTGTCTGCCCTCTGTTATTAATACTAATGGTTAATACACATAAAGTACTTAGAACAATGCAAAGGATGACAGATGGTGCTCAGTAAATGCTATCGTCATTACTCTTGTCATAATTATTGTTACTGAAGCACTGTCCTCTCTGCTTCCATGACACCATGTGTTTCTGGTTTCCTCTTACTTCACTAGCCTCTCTGCTCCCTCCTTCACTAGCTCCTCCTCCTTTTCTGATTGTTCAGTGTTAAGAGTGGGCCCCAGAGCTCAGAGGTAGAGGTAGGCTGTCTTTCCTTTGCTGTACTTTCTCCTTACACGCTTCCATCAGGGCCCCCAATCTGTACTACCACTCATGTTGATTACTTTCACATTTGTATCTCCAGCCCAGGTCTCTTTCCTCTCGCTTTAGACTGCTATTTGCCACTGCTTACCTGGTCTTACTACTTTGTTATCTCACAAGCATGTATTTAAATTAGCATGTCTGTGGTGGTTTAAAAAAATGGCTGTAAATTCTTTGACCACGCTTCTTTCCCTCCTGTTGAGTGTGGGCTGGACCTAATGACTTACTTCTAACAAATAGAATATGGTGGAAGTGATGGTATATGACTTCTGAGACTATATGGAAAAGGCGTTTTGGCCTTCTCTCTTATACGATTCATTGCTGTGGAAGATCAGCTACTTGTCCTAAAGACACTCAGGGAGCCCTGTGGAAAAGTCCATGTGGTGAGAAACTGAAGTCTCTTGCTTTCAGCCAGTGGGGAATGGAGGGTGGAACCTCCTGCCCTAGTCAAGCCCTCAGATGACTGCAGTTCCACCTGACATCTTTCTGACAGTCTCATGAACCACTGAGCCAGAGCTACCCAGCTAAGCTGCTTCAGAATACCTTCCTTACAGAAACTGCAGTAGAATACATACTTGCTGTTTTAAGTTGCTAAGTTTTATGGTAATTTGTTACTGGTTAAAATCGCCATCCATGACTTGTGGATTTGTCTATTTCTCCTTTTACTTTTGTCAATTTTTTGCTTCATGTATTTGGAAGTCTTCCCTTCATTTCTTTCATCCTGACAGTTTCTAAAGTATGTTGCAGTGTATCCTGCCTTAGGGCTTTTGCACTTGCCAGTCCCAGATCACAGTGCTCTACTCTGGCTCTTCATGTAACTAGCTAGCTTTTCCTTTTCCATCAGGGTCAGTTCAGTGGTCATCTTCCCAGAGAGGCTGTCCTTAATTATTTGCATCTAAAACAGACAGTCTATCTTAAAATGGATAACATCTTCACTCAGCTATAGAATAAGTCCCAGCAGGGGCATTGGCATAACTATAACTTCAACTCACAGGGTACAGAGAGGAATGAGTCCCTATTCATTAGAGGAAAACCCACTAGTTTTGTATAACCAGGTCTTATTCAGCAACCTCTGAACTTCTTGCTTAGGAAACCAGATTTCAAACACGTGACCTTGTTTCCTAGCCCCTCTAGCACATGCATATAGGTTGCTTACGTGTATGCAGATAGGAAATGCTAAATACACAAAAGATTGCCAAAAGGTACTTATTTGATTTTCTAATTGCATCAGAATGGCAGCTTGACCCAAGACTTAGTAGGAAAATCAGAGACTGGCCTTTGACAATTCTTTGGCTTTAAACATAGATCAGTGATCCTGGGGAATGGGGTCTTACATTTTTTTCTAAAATACTAATCACTTGTTCTTCATTAAAATATATTGATCTAATGCAAAGGAAATGGAAATTGATCCTGATCCCAATTTTGCTGTGCACAAATCTTTTGGCAACCATGAAAATTAAAAAACATTTACATATAAGTAAAAAGAATAATAAGAAATAACATAATGAAAACTGAAAAAGAGAGCCCTACCAACCAAGTTTCATTTGGGAATATCTCATTGTAGTCTGGTTTAACGAAGTTTTGAATCAAAGTTCCACTCCTTAGAGGTAAAAGAAGTTTTCAGCTTCCTGTCTGTATTATAGAAAAGGATATCCTAGATCCTCTGATCTTCCCCAGGACAACCCCACCCATGTCTCCAGGGAGAGGCCTTTTGTCTTAGATGCCAGTCCTTCCCTTCTGCTGTTTCCC